CGGGTTGCGCTAATATCATCAAAATATTGAGTAAGGTTTATCCAACGAGGTTCATCAGCATGTCTCTACTATGTGTTGGGGTGGAAACAGGGATATCCCAGGTTTACCCATTGTTCTTTTTTATACTTCAACTACCACGAAGGCCTAAGGCCTAAGCACCCATTGGGTACCGTGGGGCTATAGGGGGATACATGGGAAAGGGGGAACGCCACACGGACTCTGGCGAGGGAACACGTGTGCATGCAACATGCACACATTCTGGCTCCGCCTACGAGATCCGCCGGGTGGTACCTCCGCGTTCGATAATCAGAGACCGTCTACCACTTACGGACAATCACAACATCCATAGCCAAGAGAAAAATTTCTCCTGGAACGGGACTCGAACCCGCACAGCGCACGGCGACTGATCAAGAGACCGAAGAGTCTACTACTGCGGCCACCGCTGCTGCCTGAAAAGGCTGTCAATAGCTTATGCATCTATTGTAAAGTGGGGGCTTCCCGGGGGTGCCGACTTAGGAATCCGTATAGGGTGAGGCTCGCAGAATTCATGTTCAGGAAGACGTCCTCGTCTCGGGGAGGGGGGTGATTGCAAATGTGGAAAGAGCGAGGCTGGCTTAGACTTGTGACAATTGAAGTGCAGGGGGTGGAATTCGACTAAGAGGCGCACGTCTCACGATTCAAGTCTTTTGACACAAAGATATATCAATGTCCACTATTTTCTTCAAAAAAATTACAGACCTGGGTGTCTAGGAGGATGGCATCTCCTGCGCCCCGCTCTAAATCCGCATTTGCCTTTTTCTTTCCACTTCTAGCACTTTTGAAATCCTTCTTTGAAGATGGGAAATAAACTTTGATTTACTCCCTACGCCTATGTTAATCGCCAAAAATTTCGAAAATGAGGTATCATGATCTGTTTTTAGATGTTACAAGTACATCACGAAAAACCACGTCGCTCATTTGCGTCGGTCTATCGGTCTGTCTATCTGACTGTCCGGTACTCGTTGTTTATAACTTGGAAAATACTGTTTGGATTTGAATGAAGTTTTTACACAAGATTACCACTTCGCCAAGGACGAAAAATCTACGTAGTTTTTGAACATTTAAACAATTCTTAGGAGTAAAGATTAGGAGGTGCAATGTTAGTATTTTAATACCCCTGTCAAAATAAAAAAAATCAGCCTGTCAGCACTGTCAGTAGTCCTCACCTCAAATTACCAAGGTTCATATTATAGCGGTCTTCTTTCGTCGTCGTTCGTTATTTGCTGTAACTGTCAAAAACAACATGTAACAGAAGGTTTAACGATTCATTATTTTTGTTGTACTAAAACTCCCTATCTTCATGTTGAATATGATTAATCAATGACGGAACAGATTCCTTGCACACATACTTGGACATTCACTTCCTAAGGGACTACATATGATGCCCATCAAGAAGATTGTTGCAGTGAGGCGAGGAAGAAGAAGAAAGTCATATTTTTATGGATCAGTTAGGAAAAATGTAGATAATTGTATATATATATATATATGTCGGCGTCAAACGCTGAAATCCGTCATTCCCTGAAATGCCTAGTTGTACTCCGAATTGCCGGCAAATACCGTAACAGTGATTACTACAACGTTTGACTAAGCACTTTTAGTGATTCCCTGTAATGACTGAACAATTTCAGTCAAACACCGTAACAACCACATTAACTTCGTTACTGCATTCGCCTATTTTAGTCAAACGCTGTAATCAATACAGTGTTGTCCCAATGAAGTACTTAATATAACAAGGTACTACTTCATCAATAATATTAAAAGAAAAATAATGCATGACTTAATCTAAAAGGAAAGACGAATAGATTAAAACGTTGTCTTTATTATTACATTATTGTTTATTGTTTATATACGAAATGCGGCAACAATGGATGCTGCTGTTAAGCAAGCATATGTACGTTATAATTTGGTTAGGTTCACAAAATTATAAAAATTATTTTACCTCCTTTAACTCATTTGTATTGCATGGTTTTTTCTTATTCACACTGTCATAGTTTCTTGTAAAACAATTCTGAATGCTGCGACATCTTTACAAACAAAACGATGTGCAAATGAACACAAAACTGGTACAATGAATGACTGAATCAGACAAATGGAGTAACAAAGTTGATGCGGTTGTTACGGTGTTTGACTGAAATTCATCAGTCATTACAGGGAATAACTGAAATGCTTAGTCAAACGTTGTAATAATCAAACTGTTACAGAGTTTGCCGACAATACGGGGACTGACTAGGCATTTCAGGGAATGACGGATTTCAGCATTTGATGCCGACATATATAATATAACAGCAGACCCAGCAACAATATACAGGGTTATCCAAATTAAGTGTCCACCATTAGTAACTTTGTTATTAGTGAAAATACAAAGTTGTTTGAATTAGCAAACTAGTAGCATTTTTAACGCTGGTAAAAATGAGAAATAAAAAAAAAACAATTGAGAGTCGTTATTTTGATTTTTTTCAGTAAAATAACATTTTTTTAAATGGAAACCCCTGTATATTATATTTTTTTCTGTTAAAGCATCAAATTTTAAACAAAATAGTTCATAATGACTTTTCCGCTAAAGTCAAAAATAAAGTCAAAATAACGATAAATATTTTTAATTATTTGCAGTATTATAATATTAAGACGGCTATGAAAACAACATGGCGTTCGCGATTTGACAGCATTAAGATAAGCGACAAATTGTTAAACTGGACATACTCGCAACTAGAAGGCTTTGGAAAACAATGATAAAATCAAATAATGTCAAACATTAGTGTAAATACTTGTTTATAAGCTTTATTGTGTCATTAATTTAAAGAAAAATGTTCTCCCATGAAGAAAAGTGTGATATGTTAGAATGCTATTTAGTGTGCAGAAAATCCTCCTTGAGAGCAAGAGAATATACAGTGAATTATATCCCGCTCGCATTCAACCGTATGAACGATATTTGCTGAGACTTTATCGAAAATTTAGGGGCAACGAAAATGTTTTTGCTAAAACAAGGGCAAAAAAAGAATTCATAATAAGCGAGGCCACGGAAATTGCAGTTATTGGATATTTTGAAGCTTATCGTGAGAATTCAACAGCAGATATTCTCAAGGACTCTAATTTCAGTTATGGTACTGTTCAAAGGATTTTAAAAAAATACAAATTTATTCCGTATAAGTACCGACCAGTTCAAACGCTTTTGGCAGGGGATCCAGAGAGAAGACTTGTTTTTTGCCATTGGTATCTTAGCTTCTGTCGCCAAAATGTAAATAACTTTCGTTACCTTTTATGGACAGATGAATCAAATTTTTCAAATTCTGGAATGTTTAATAGAAAAAACCACCATTATTGGTCAAGAGAAAATCTTTTGTTAGTACATCCAAGAGGCCCACAAGTCCGTTTCAGTTTCAACGTTTGGTGCGGTATAATTGGTTCAAAAATTGTTGGCCCGTTCTTTTATGAGGGAACCCTAACTGGTGAAAGATATGTGGAATTTATGTCAGAAATTCTGACTAATTTCTTAGGCGAATTGGATCTTATAAGTAGACATCATCTGCATTTTCAGCAAGATGGCGCACCTGCCCACAACTCCAGAGGTACTTATCATTTTCTAAGTACTACTTTTAATGATCAGTGGATAGGAACAAATGGCCCAATACAGTGGCCTCCCAGATCACCAGATCTAAACCCACTTGATTACTTCTTGTGGGGTTACTTAAAGAACCAAATTTACAAGCGAAGGTACGATAACCTTGACGCGTTAAAGACTGCAGTTAGGGAAAAGATAACCCAGATAGATGGTAGGACCATACTTAAGACAGGTCGAGCAGTTGAAAAACGTGCCCAAAAATGTATTGAAGAACAAGGTGGTGTTTTCGAGCATCTTCTTTAAAAAAAATTGTTATTGTATTTTGTAAGATTATAAGTTGATGTTGAAAATAAAGTGTGTCGATACAATTTAATTGTTTCAGATTGGAGGCCATAACTTCAACAATTTGTAACCTAGGAGAAAAGTTATTGTAAGCTTTTTTGTTTAAAATTTGATGCTTTAACAGAAAAAAATATAATATACAGGGGTTTCCATTTAAAAAAATGTTATTTTACTGAAAAAAATCAAAATAACGACTCTCAATTGTTTTTTTTTATTTCTCATTTTTACCAGCGTTAAAAATGCTACTAGTTTGCTAAGTCAAACAACTTTGTATTTTCACTAATAACAAAGTTACTAATGGTGGACACTTAATTTGGATAACCCTGTATACCCTCATTGCCCTTATTCGTCGCTCTTTTCTCTTTCCTTCTTTTTCTGTAACATTCACTGACCAGATATGACAGATCCTCTGCATACTTCAACCTATAACCATTAATTAAAGCATTTTACCTGAAGTTAACCAACCTAATACTATATTCGCACGTCCAAAAAATTATCCGAGATGAAATGAGATTCCGTGTAGCATATCATCTATGAGAATTTGTCACAGCTATCTTCCTCTCTCTACATCGAAATGGTTAGTATCTCATAGAGCACCATCTGGGAGACACTAACCTTTCCAAGGCAGTCTTCTGATTATTGCGGGGAAAGAGAAACATAGCTCTGAAAAATTCTGATACATGACCCTACGGTATTTCATTTCATCTTGGAGAATTTTTCGGACTCGCGAATAAAGTATAAGGTTGACTATCTTCGTGTAGAATACGCTACTGAATGCTTTAATCAAGAGCAAACGTCCTACGAACCGTTCTGACAGACAATGACGGATAGAAGACTTCCAATTTCAAATTTAAGATTAATAATTTTAGGAATTTTTCATAAATATGCTGAACTGTATCTGTAATGGTCTAAACGAAGAATTTATTCCATTGTTCTTCCAACTGTCGTAAAATGTCATCACAATAGCTGTACTATTTGCAAGCATGTTACCTGTGAAAAAATCATTGGAATTGAGAGTCTAGCCCATCTCTACTGTCAACCACTTGAAAACCTTTGACAACTGACATTTGTCAATTTGAGAAGTGAAACGTCATAGTGCGGTCTTTTGTGTGTTGATCTCTAGCGTTTTTCAGCAGATTTTTCCAGTTTTTGAACGGTATTTATTTTATTATCTGGCTTCCAGATGATGTCGGTATTTGGATCGTTGATGGGAGATATGGAAGCCGATCCGATATTTGGGTAAGTAAGGAAAAAATGCAATACTAGATTTGGCTGCTTTCACAAAACATTGCACCGCCATTTTCTAGAAACCGAATATTTTAGCAGGATTTCACTTCAATTAAATTCAACATCTAATTACTTAAAGTAGTTGTAAAAGAAGTAATTGCTGATAAAAATCCTTTTAGAGACATGTTTAGGACATTCAGATATGACTACCAGTGACCATGACGACAAAATTACGAATGCAACATTTATGTCCTGACGTGACCTCTTGGAAATATAATGCTACCATAGATTTTTCTAGGAGGCACTCAAAGAATGTATGACTGAATAAAATTGTAATTAACGGAGAGGTGACACATTTGTTTGACTCGCACGTAACCTAACCAATATTTTTAACCATGTGCTTGGGTCAATTTTTAAAAGATATCACTAGGCTAATTGTACTCTTTAACAAACTATTGAAAATACAATTATTTACTTGTTGAAGTGAATGTTTCTATGAATTTCTTGTAACCACATGCAGGCTCTCATTTGATAAATTAGTGGTTTTCCTTTTGGTCATTTTTTCAGATAATCCTTGCCTCACATATCAATGCATTCCATTTATCAAAGTAAGAGGTACATACTTTAGGGCCCTATCACCAGTAGTTCCTACAATTGTAGGATGCCTTTATGGCCTCCTTGAGTTTCATACTATTTTCTCTCCTTCAGAAAGACTGGGGTACTTCAAGATTTCTACTGTTCCATGTCATCATCAGTGCTCTCCTATTGTGAAGTAATGTTTTCTTTTTGAATTGCAGGAAATTTCCGGCTGTTGTAAAAGATTATATGAATCAAAAGCATGAACAATTTGATGAAAATAGATATTTGGTATTTAACCTCAAAATAGAGTACTGATGCAGAACAGTAGAAAAGTATGAAAATCAAGGAGACCATAAAGGTGTCCTACAGTTTTTTTTCTGTTATTGGCTCTCGTCGATGACCAACTGGCCAGATCCTTATGTTCAGTATAATGCTATGCTTTAATAGAAAATAGAACACCCATTACTTCTCCTACAATTGTAGGAATGACTAAGGGTCTGGCCCTTAAAGAGAATTGGCTCACTTGATTGGATGATTGGAGGGATTTGTTGGTTCTGACAATTGGCAAATTTTGGTTAAAGATTTTACAAACATTTATTTGTAAATGCCAAAAATGTTGATAGCATATTCAAATCTGCTGTTCTACATACAAGTTCTCTGTTTGTTAGATAAAAATTTTACTTGATAGTTCCTTTTGACATCTCAGGAAATTCACTTATATAGTGACAAAAGAAAAGCTACTAAGGATCTAACAACCAGTGGAGAGTTTTGATTCTCTTCTCTTTGCTTCACTTCTCAATGTACCTTTTAGTATATGCTAAAGGACTTAAATATAATGTTCAAATTTTCATCACAAAAATGTCAATGTATGATTATGACTGTACCCTAGTGACACAAAGTACTCTCTTCAAACCTGACAGATAGATTTATGAATCTGTTTTTACTGTATTACAATTTATGATGTATCAGTATCAAATTAATATTGATTGATTCATAGTTTTTGACTGGTTATAGTGAAACTTTCATACATCGATCTCTCTCACACAAACATGTCAAATTGGCCTCTATACTGGATGTTTGTTTATGGAAACCCAATGACATACTTTTTTTTATGTCTTCCTGCCTTGAATATTTTCTCATCAATGTATTAGTCATCCACATTTTTGCTTGCCTGTCAATATAAATGTTTCCTTGTCATGAGCATGCAATTTATGTTTACCCCTATTGATCTTCGATATAAAACTAATATTTATTTGTTTATTTAGTATATAATAGTGAGCAGACAGTGTCCATGCAACTGTCCCTATTATATAACCAAAGTTATGATTAAGTATTATATTGTGCCTAAAGATACAAGTACAATGTGGACTTCTAAAACAGACTGTTCTAGAAGTATTTTCACAAAACTAATCCAGATGTATCTGAAAGAGCAAGTAGCAACTGTGTGACAGATCTGCTGGTGCAGTGAAGAGCTACGCACTTGGTACCATTAGTCAATCTGTTCATTTATTTCATATGACATTGTGTTGAACTGCCAAAAACCTTAAAAAGAACTATATACATTTTATGACTCATTTACACCTCTAACATGTAGATATATCTTCTTTGCAGGTCTCACATGCGTCAGATGCGCCAGATGAGCAACATGATGAATTCCCTATTCTCTGACCCATTTGGCATGATGCGTGGTGGATCCATGTATGATGACTTTGAGAATAGAGCATTGGTCCATCACCGTCACAATGCACTGATGTCTCCCTTTGGTATGCCAATGATGCCCAACTTCAACCGCTTGCTCAGTGGATCTTTAGATTCTATGAACCACCCTGGCAATTTTAGCAGCTCTAGCACTGTCATCAGCATGACTTCTGGGCCAGATGGACGCCCACAGGTAGGTCATTTGCAATAAAAAAGGATCAAAAAGAGGATTTTGTTTTTAAAGGACTACTCAGGGATAGCATTGAGAACATGGTTCTAAAAAATTATTTTAATAGATGTTGTAATGATTGATATTTTGTCTTGTGTATTGAAAAAAAATTATTTAAAAATTTTTGAGCTCTGCGAATGCATTTAACTTTACTATTTTTGCCTTTCAGCAGGTCTATAAAGCAACATCTAGTACCAGGGTTGGCCCTGATGGAATAAAAGAAACCCAGAAGACTGTTGAAGACTCGGCTACTGGAACCAAAAAGATGTCCATAGGTCATCACATTGGTGAAAGGGCTCATATTATTGAGAAAGAACAAAATGTATTTACTGGTAAGTTAACAGTTGTAATGGGTCATAATACCATAACATTTTGGACAGTCTTTTTTAAACTAAACATGAATGATCCAACAGTTAATTTATACAAAGAGGTATGAAGTTCTTCTATAGAGGTTTTGTGGATATGTTCCAGGTGATAGAGAGGAAAGAGAAGATCTGATTAACATAGAAGATGATGAAAAAGAAGAGTTTGATATAGAATGGGACCAGAAAGCGAGAAGAGCCGAGATACCAAGGATAAGTGGTATTCCTAGAAACAGGCACTCTTATGCCGGACATACATCTGCACCACTTGCTATCACAGCTGGTCCTAGGTAGGTAGATTAAGATTTGAGGAAAAATTGAGTACATTATTTTCAGTTCTATTCAAAAATGTATGATTCTGTAGTCACTTATATTAATGATTATTTATGAAGAATTCTATAAAATTGTTATATTGGCCCTATACAATGGCTGCTTGGAGTGCATCTAATATGGGGGAAAGTGTAACTGACAGACTGGTAAAGTAAGTTCGCAAATTACAATATTCAGTGTGTGTAGCATATAAGGAATAAAATCAGTCACGTAACTTCACTTTTGTTACTTATATTTTCCGCCATATCAAAGTGTGATACTAGCACTCCAATCAACCACTGTCACATTTTTTCATGCAATTTTTGTTCTGTATTGTTTGTTTTTCTGGAGTCATTTCTAAAATATTTCAAAATATTTTAAAATGGATATCATTATTCAAAAGAGTTTGAGTTACTTTTTATTATGAGTGGAAGCTCATTATAAAACGTCAATAGCATTGTCCAATGAGTTTTATACAATGCTTTGGAATGGAATTTGACGATAAACTTGGCAAAAAATAGTAGTTCGAAGTGCGTGAAGAAATCTATGAACCATTTCATGGAATTATTTGACGTCAAATTCCTTTTTATACTTTTGAAATTTGGTCATGAAGAAATCCGTGGATTGCTTGAAGTAATCTACGAAGAACTCCATGGAGTTATTTAACGCCAAATTCCTGCCATCTTGAAATTCTCAACTGCCAATTTATGCTGAAATATAGTATTTATGCATCAATTTCATCGCCCAAAATTTCACGTTACCAACTTGGCCCATACCAAAAATAATTAGGGGTGTGACCTTTGAGAAATACACTGCCTGAACAGCAAAATTAAAAACCTAATCAAATTGCTCAAAATGGCAAATTTAATTTCTTGTTACGCTCGAAACTGTATCATTTTGCATGCACATATAGCATAACTGGCAGTAGAAGACACCATCACAGAAGCACATTGGAAGAACAATCATCGAAGCATCCATTGATAAAAGGCCGGAGAAGTATCAGGTCATCACCAAAGCCTGTTTCGGGCGCGTCTAGGTAGGAAAGGAATCGTTTGAAAGGTTTTTGAATCATCGCGTTCGTTCAGAAACACTGCTCCAATCACTAATCATTTAAATAATTTTTGTTTTGTGCTGTTAACAAGTTGAACATGCTGTTTGATTAACTTTTGGAAGAAACATAGCGACAGAGAGGAGGTTTCAGAATAAACAATGCTTCTCATCATCATGCTAAAAAAGCTTTTTCAGATAAAACACAAAACTGGAGCATATCTGCTTTCATTCCACACAGTGTCATTTGACCATTTGCTTTTGTATCATTCCTGATTTCAAACCTATATTGTATAGTTGTTATTGCATTGATGAAACCCTATTATCAAGGTGCTGATAAAAAACAAAAAATTCTATTAGATTGTCGACAATGGGATATATTTTTTATTTTCAAATTGAATGGATGGACATTTTTCGGTACGAGTATAATAAAAAAATCACATTGAGGACGTCACATGGTTGGTCCTCTTGCAACTCTTCTTTTTCGAGAAACAAAAATCGTTTAAATAATACGCCTACATTAATATTGTTCTGTTTCAAAAAATCAAAAAGAAATCTTCAACCAAAAGTCCTATAACAACTCTACCTACTTGTCTAACAAACCCATCATATACAGGACTCACACACGGGGTTTGGTTTTGCAGGTTATCACGACAGTACTAGAAACAATTCTATATTAACGCCCCCTCTCTTTGATCTACCATGTGAAGTAAGTAACAAAACTATGCATCCATGAAACATTTATATTTCCTGTGGACTTGTACCTATCGCCATGGGATACAACTAACACTTAGCATTTAACTGTGTGTGACTACTAATACTAACATATTAAATTTGTGTTTATTATTCCATCTGATATTATAATTTTCCAGGACAAAAGAACTATTGTTGTTTAAATTACATGGACACTACTCTGTACTGTAATAGCAAAACTCTCATATTTTGAGCTACAAGCAGTATTGCCTCAAGAAAGTTATGATTACAAACTGATAAGAGAAGTGGTCGTATGATTTAAAATACAATAGTTTCTGTTGGAACTGTTTTTTTTTAAATAGCAGCTCCTGATTACTTTGCTTGTCCATAAAGACCAGAGTAGGTTGTTCAAAATCGCTCAGTGTTTTTAGTGATATATATGACATATTTGCTGATGATTGTAAAACACTAGGGGTCTTCAAAAACGTGAATACCTGCCCTGATTCCTCACCACAATACACCATTTGGACATTAATTCAAGAGGGAGCTGTGATAGTTGTTATGGACGCATGCATAGTTGTTCTTTTATTTGGTATTCATATTCTGAGAACACTAGATCTTCAAGTTCTGACACGTGGAAGTGACAAAAAAGTATTCAAATGTTTCTCTCAACTAAAAACGTGGCATTGTTCGATCTTAGGAATTCTTATTGCCCTTGCTTAGTTGTTGAATCCAATACTTCCTTATATTATTACTTTCCTCTGCCAACACAAGTGCTTGTTTTAGTTCTTATGCCTATAGAAGATAAAGTCCCTACATTATAACAAACAAAAATTGTCGCCTTTTTTGACATTTGACAGCTCTCTTACATTCCCAAGAGTAAAGGTAAATAAGGTGCTTCTTCACAGAGACCTCAAGAGACTATGCATTTCACCCTAAAGCGTGGGATTCGATTGAAATGCTTAAAAAATTAGTCCCCGAGTCGGTATGTTATCCTTCATAATAGTGGACAACACACTGCTATTGTCAAACCGTCACAAGGAACGAAATGAGGAAACGCTGTGTTGTATGCTATTGTCATATTTGACCATACAAGTACAGGAATGGACAAAAGTATATAGACAAATATGAATATTTACCTAAATACCTTTAGAAAACGAATTCATACTTCATTGCTCCATAAACAAATGCGTTATTAGTAGAAAAACTAAATTCATTGTTTTTACATTATCTGCAATAAACACAATACAATTCTGAATATAAGCACTTTTATGAGGGACAAAAATATGCAGACAAATTCTTTTCAACATTAGTTTAGTACAGTTTCGTGTTAGAAGAGGATTAGTTTGTGTTCATCAAGTATTGTGGAATAAGTTGACTTATTTTAAGACCATGCCGCGTGGGCCAGAAATTTCTTTCGATGTGAAAACTATGATCATTGAGTTATACAAAGATGGTCAACGTCAAGTCGACATTGCCAAAAATTTGAAGCTGAAGCGTAAAGCAGTTTGGGCAATATTGAACAAATATAAACAAAAAGGTATGTTGAAAGCCTCTAAGAGAAGTGATCGGCCTAGAAAACTAAATGCTAGATCAGTTAGATTAAGAAGCCACTGATCTCGAGGAAAAGCCGTAAGGACCGATTACAATTTGCACGGTTGCATCTTGATTATAGCATCTGTGACTGGAAGAGGCTATGTTTCAGTGAAGAATCCAAGTTCAATATGCTTGGATCAGATGGTGTTCATAACGTTAGACGTCCTAGTGGACAAAGATTGAACCCCAAGTACACTTTGCCCACTGTGAAACATGGAGGCGGGTGTGTTATGGTTTGGGGATGCTTTTCGGGGTTTGGGATGGGACCTTTACATAGAATATATGTCATTATGGATAAGTTTGTATACCCAGACATACTAAAGCATGTCATGTTACCCTATATGGAAGACAATATGCCCTTAAGATCAATCTTCCAGCAAGGTAATGACCCGAAGCACACATCAAATCTCTCAAAGAAATTCTTTCTGGATGAAAAGATACCAGTTCTCAAATGGCCTTCACAGTCTCCCGATATAAACCCCATTGAAAATCTATAGGAATACTTAGATGAGCAAATACGAGATAAAAATTATTCAAACAAGGATGAACTTTTTGCCGCTTTAGAGCAAAAGTGGAGACAGATTGCTAATCTTATATCAAGAAACTTCTACAATCTATGCCGAGACGATGCCAGGCGGTGATTGATAATAATGGTTATGCTACAAAATATTAACACAAACATGGTTGGTTTTCTATAATTCAATGAACTTTGCTTCTTTTTTCTCTAATTGTTTTGCTTTGTCTATATATTTTTGTCGTTCATAGTTCCAGTTTTTTTCAATTAATTTTTTATTGAAGGGAGTCTAATGAATTTATTTATGTATAAGTGAGTATTATGCTATAGCGAATTATGTATACAGGTTAGTGTATTAATGAAACAAGTTAAAAAAATACAGCACAGTATTAATTTGTCTATATACTTTTGTCCATTACTGTATATCGACTTGGAAATCTATTTGTTAAGGAGTTTGGTTGAAACTGACGTGCCTAAATGACGGATACATACGAGGTCTGTAAATTAGGTGATGTAGTCACTTGAAGTTTCAGTATGACGACACGCCCTTTTTTTGATATGAGGCATCCTTATTGCCACTGGTTCACGCTTAAAATCAGTATCTTTGTTCTTCTAGGAGGAGGAGTAAAATGAGGAAGCCTCGTTCTTAGTTGATAAAAATAGTTGACATCTCTCTTGTCATTCCAATGTGTCAAAACTCAAGGAACGTAGTGTTCTCAAAATATGAAGACCAGGCATACTGCCTATAATCCATAATAAAAAAATTAAGTACTTTTTCCTGGTAACTTCCTATACTCATCTATTTTATGATAAATAGCAGCATCATCATCATCATTAACATCAGCTCGTAGCACTGGATCCTACAAGTAGCATTTAACGAACTCTGTCGTGTAAGATAAATATTCTGGCTTGGACATTTACAAAGTGAATTTCTTTTTCAGCCACCAATCTCGAGCACCATATAGTGTTCCAAGTCATTCACAAGGACAGCAACCAAGAAAAAGCAAGAATGTGAAAACGGTATCGGGTACCTCTCCCAATCATGACAACTAAGTGTTTGCAAGTTGATGTATTTTCCTCATTGTTACACACTCTGTAGCACAATTGTCAGATTCTTGCGGAGCGATATTTTGAATACTTGGTTTCACAATTTATGTGTTTTTGCTATGCATTGCAGCTTAACTATTTGTTTCAAGTTAATTTTGACCTTGACGTATTGCAATTGAGATGATTTCTAAGTCGTTCGTACTTCGCGAATACGTAGTTCGGTAACATATTCCACCTAAAGATAGTCAATGAACTGTGTTTCCAGTTCAAAAACGATCTGAAATACGTTTGCGCCATCTATTCCTCATAATTCCTCACTCTCTATGTGGCTGAACGTAAAAACTGGTAAATGTCTATTGATTTTGATTGTAGCCTCAACCAATAAATGGTTATGCTACAGGAAAACCTGTGCCGTCTCATTTTTAACTATCCTATAAACATAGCTCTAAAGATTGCAGAAACCCGTTGATTAACCAACAACTAACAAGCAAAGATAAGCTGAATTTATAATTGTATTTCGCGTTTTGACTTGCAATAGGACAATTTTGTTGTGCATCTATAATAAAATATGGCTAATAGACAGTATGTTTAATCCAACTATAACATTTTTCTTGAAATTGGGGATAGATAGGTAAGAAATGCTGCTAATGTTGAATTATTGTTTTATACGAGAAGCCAGGAACCCCTGAGAAGTCCATTGACTGTGAAAAACGTTTTTTCTCTAATGTAATTTTGAAATCAGGTACAAGGAAAGGTGTTAGTTCGCTTTGTATCATCTGGAAAAAAACTACGGAACTGTACCATAATGATCATGGTGACATTTGTTTGAGAGACTTCTTTCCTCTTATACTGTAAACTATGACAAAGGCTAAACATGATCCAGATTGTTTATAAATCCAGAGTTCCATCATAATATTGGTGGACATAATAGCAACATGGTGAAACGACAAATCGCTAGAGAAAAGGTTTCACTATAAGCTGCGCGAGTCTATTTGGGCAAGAAGGCAGTGACCACATGGTATTTTTGAATTCCAGGCCCTAAGGTCTTTTGGACTGAATTCTGGTAATTTGAGAGAAATTCCGCGGGTTTTAATTTTGTGACACTTGATACCCCAAACAATAATATCGTTTGTATATATATACAGTGTAGTATTTGTGTTGTCACTTAGCTGTCACTAAACACAAAAATGCATTTGTGAGTCTCCGTAAATTATGATTCCAAGTATAAGCAAAAATTTGATTGATATTAAACTGACTCAGTATTTATTTTGCATTGGTTATCGTTTACATGATATCGTTTTCTTACTCCGAGATTTTGTTTGAACCGGGTGCCAAAAATTTTCAGATCGACATTGGAGCTTTTTTTAATTCTATTTTTATTATTTTGAAATAGGTGCTGTTCACGAACATTCTAAATATTTTCTATGTATGTTTTATCAATAAATGTATGGTACTGGGTGACAGTAGATTGGTTTTCTTTATAAAATATTTATTTCAGTATCTGAAAGCATCTTCAATAATACATTGGAACAATGTTGGCAAGATTAGCTTAGGAAGTAGAAGGTAGCAACGCCTTGGACTGTGTTAAAGTACAATACAATATTGACAGTAGTTAAAACATTTTCAGTTTTTAAGATGCAGGATATATTTGATATTTCCTCAATATCACATTTTGGAAGATGGTAGATGTGTATTGAAACACTTTTGTTGACAAAGGAGGTCTCCTCGCAAACATGGTACCGACTACTTTACCCTAGAAGACATAAATATTAAAAGAATATGTTAAAAATAAAGTCCTGAGCGTGCGGTATGAAAAAATCACGAAATCAAAGCGTTCTACTATAATCTTCGTACAACAATTGCAGAATGCTTGCTAAGCCAATTTTGACAACTTAATACGCATGATACAATGCGAGTTGATAGTAGATGGGCAACTTTAATGAATCCTTTATTTGCAATTTTTATTCCCAAATCTTGTTCATTTTGTACTTGTGATTTATAGGCTATTTTACTTTGATATATAATCTAATGGAGGCTCTAAGTGACATGTATTGATTTGCTTTTGAAATTTTCTTTTTCCTTGCCACAGTATCTCCATTAGAATTAATACTTTAAGCATTATTCATCGTATGGTTCGCTTTATTTATTTCGAAAAGTTGTCCATTAATTTAAATATGTCTAGAGTGTAAGGTGATATTTTAAGAGTTCTCTCAAGCTAGATTAGAGTTATGTATTGAGTACAATGTATTTAGGCTTAATGTGAATAAATATGTATTATTCCATACACGACTTTCATTGAATACCTGTTCTTACTTTTTGTTTATAAACATTACCCCCACCAGTGGCTAGTATTGTTACAATATTTTAATTTTACAATAATGTACTGAGAAGTTACAACACAGGCTATGTGTAATGCTTAATGTTGTTTGTTCCTTTGTCACTTTGTTCAGAGGTGGTCTTGGTTGTTTTTTCAAAATTTCTATATGCCGATTCCATTTTATAGGTATGTAATTCCAATTTGACCCTACGACACTTCACGGTTTTTTGATCGCGTTCGAATTTTGCAACAACAGCTACCTATCACAAAGTTCTATAATACGTTTAGGCTTCATATTGTCCCTGCGTATCTGTGATCGCTACACAAACACCTATCCTATAATCTATTCTAGCCTCATTTACTCCACGTCAAAACATGAGGACTCGATCATTGCTGCTTGTCGCTGCCTGTCCAGGCATTTATGGCCCTTTGGCCAATAGGAGCGGAGTTTGAACGTCGCGCGCTCGTGTTCTGGTGGTGTGTGAATGGGATTTGACTTCATAACAGTGTGAATATTCTAGACTCTGCATACAAAAACTTGTACTGTTTTGTTCCTTTTTTTAGGATCAGCTGGAAAGTCAATTTAACTTAGCCTCCGGATTTATAATCAAGTCTATGTTTTTCCTTTGGGGATATATGAATACATGTGTTTTATCACTCAGTCAAGAAACGTTGCCACTTGAAAGACAACATTCGTAATGAAATCACAGGCTTAAAAACCCTAAATACTCATAAAAGTTATGGAGAACGTCGAGGAGCATGAGGCCATTATTTATGAGATATTCTAACCACGCAACAGACACCACTATTCACTCACGCGTTACCGACTGACACTGACTGTATACAACGGAATAAAATAATTGTAAAAACATCGTTCCAAATTCTTTCGCTTTTTTGTTTCCGTTGCGATGAACCGATAAGGCGGATTATATCCGTTGTTGCCAAACACGAGCACATAATATTATGATTGAGACAGGGCGGTACTCAAACTTCCAAAGGGCTATAACTTTGTTACTTTAATTTTACCAGAAAAAAGGTAAAGGGAAAAAAACATTTCTTTTGATCAGATCTACTCACTGTTAAAATAAATGACTCAACTTCGAAGTCACCCTGTATATTGACGCAACTTTGAAGCCGATAACAAGACGTCGTTTAAAACGCTTTCATTTTGCCATCCTTTTTAGAACACTCAGTACTGAAGCATCAACACTTACCTACAAAGAAAATGTAGACTTTTAATGAACGGAAAGGTAAACTAGATATCCAAATACTAATAACTACTTTTTTGTTATTTATAAAAAGGTATCAGAAATTCTTCGACCAAAAATATCTTGTTGCCATCTTACATCATGTTTCATTCCCCTAAATAACAAATTTGTTAGAAACTCCTCTGTATAACTATAAAGAAGTTTTACTAGAATATTTGTAATCATGCGCGGTAAAAATTAAAATGTTGGAACGGTATATCATTCAGCCGATCATCTTCGAAGAAGCACGATTGTGCTTGGGGGTGAACTCGACCGATGTCCAAGCTGCATGCATATTCGCCGTTTCGCAATGGTTCGGCAATTTTGTTTTATAAATCAATCTGTTTGACCGACATCACGACTGTACGTCATAACGACCTCAGATAGACGTCATATTCACGTCATATTGACTTTGTATTTGGTCTTTTCTACGACATACTATGATGTCAATTGTGTGTGACATTTTTTTGCCGACGTTCAGTGGTAGAAAACTAGTATTTGCAAATACTTCCTAAACTGCTAATTTGAGAAGTAGATTACCTTATACAAAAATATGCCTATTTTTTATTGATTTAGATGATGAGACGGAAACAGGTGGTGTCCATTTGAAAAAAAAGGAGTTTTGGTATTTTTGCAACTTGATTTTCCAATTTTTTGACCACCCTATATTATTGATTATCAAATATAGAATGAATGAAGTCTAAGTAGGTCCCTTTTCTAAGAACACTTAGACATTATAAGTTCTCTTTGGCTATGGCAGAAGATAATCCGCGGCTTTTAGTGCCAAACATCCGGCCAATGGTATTTTATGAGACCCACCTCGAAAATTAATTTGATATACCTTGTAGAGGCAGTAAAAAGCCTTCTCTTCAAAGGTGTGTGAAAGCTTATAGAAGTACAGTTCCGAATTTCGCTTTTCCCTAGAGCCCTTACAACTTACCACCAACCAAGTGTTCTTTATAAATGACCCACCTCGTGGAATCAATACAGGGTTTGTCCGGAAAGTAATAGGACTGAGTCGATTTAAAAAAATTTATTGAGCCAATCGTTACAATTCTTTAAAAACTTTCAAAATGTCAGCGGGATTTCCAAGCATTGTAGGCGTCACGGAAGGCATTCTCCGGAATAGCCTTGAGAACCGCGGTGAATGCTGCTTGGATCCCGTCTGTCATCTCAAAATGCTTGCCTTTCATCGGCCTTTTCAGGCGAGAAAACAAAAAAAGTCCGGGGGGGCACATCTGAGCTGTAGGGCGGCTGCGGAAACGTTGGGATGCCGGCCTTGGTCAGGTAGCTGTTCACAAGAAAGGCGGTGTGAGCCGGGGCGTTGTCGTGGTGCAACTTCCAGTCGGCTGCGATGTCTTGTCGGACCCGACTGAGCCTTCGTTTGAGTCTCCTGAGCACCTCCACGTAAAACTTGGTGTTGACGGTTTGTCCAGGAGGAACAAAATGATGGACGATGCCTTTGATGTCAAACAAGACAATGAGCATCGTTTTCACTTTAGATTTGCTCATTCTTCCCTTTTTGGGCGAGGAGACGCCGTCGTGTGCCACTCGGAAGATTGCCTCTTTGTCTCGGGATCATACTCAAAGATCCACTACTCGTCACCTGTGATTACGTTATTCAAAAATTGGGGGTCACTTTCACACATGTTCAAATTTTCTTGGCATACAGACTCGCCGCAATTTCTGGTCTTCAGTGAGCACTTTTGGGACCATCTTCACGCACACCTTGCGCATGTTCATGAACCACAGATTTTGGTAAATTTAACATCTGGGCAATTAAACGAATACTTAGTCGACGGTCTGAGTTCAAAACTTTGCGCACACGAGTCACATTATCGGTGTTTGTCAAAGTCGAAGATCTTCCAGCATGGTCTTCATCAGCGACCTCTTCCCGGCCCTCCAAAGAGGCCTGGTGCCACCGAAACACACCACTCCTTGCTAAAGCAACACCTGGTAAGCGTGCTTGATCATATCAAACGTCTCTATCGCAGAATTACCGAGTTTCACACAGAATTTAATCGCGTACCTCTGCTCTAACGAACGCTGCATTTTCGGCTTGCACCACGCACAGAAACACGTCGCGCGATAATGCCTGTCCTGACTCTCCAAGTGATCGGAGACAACTGACCAGCCGCTCATTCGTTAGCTAGGAACGCCCTCTACCGAATCCAGTCGATGCGCGCATGCTTCGAAGTACAATCAAGGCGAAAGAAAATGAGTCCTATTACTTTGCGGACAAACCCTGTACATTCAATAATCCGATTAACCGTGTATACCCGGTATTGCTTTCTACCATCTTAATTGTGAATCGTTAAGTACTTGTGAGAATATACTTTTCTGACCTACATTTCCCGATATACCCTGAATTGATTGCAAACGTGAAGAAGCCCGGTGAAAGTTGGCCGTATCTTCTTTATGCAGCGTACACGTTTCTATCGATAAGTAATGTTTGCTGTTACTCCCACAGAAAAAAACACCGGTTGTCACTATCGATTTTATTAACGTTAGAGTTTATAATAGGCACGAAAATCATACAATATTTACAAATGCAATGTGAAAAATGGGTCAGTTGAATCGATATGAATTGAATGACTTCAAATACTAGTTGTCCATTCCACGAGACCGCGCTTATGGATTTGCATAAATTACTTATTATGTTAGCAGTCAATATACAAATTATATGGAATTATACAGTTTTCTGTTTCATTTATTTTACATTTTGTTAATTAAGGTTATCGATTATCGAGGCGCGTATTCCAGCCCAAAAAACCGTATTACAATTTGATGCAAGTCACGAGCAGACATTTATAGACCACAGAAATCACACAAAGGTAAATCACTCGGAAGTGATAAGAAGTCCTTAAAAAATTGAGAATCATCCTTTTTATACTTTACACTTAATAAATTGTTGTTTAGAACGCGGTGTTTTTCCAAGTGCTTGGAAGAAAGCATTAGTGCAACCTCTTCCAAAGATTCCCAATCCCCAGGTTCCTGGTGATCTCCGACCTATTAGCTTGCTGTCAGCTCTATCAAAAATTCTAGAAAAAATAGTTTATATGCAGTTGAATGAGTATTTACTCGAACGCACCATTTTGCCATTAAATCAATCAGGCTTTAGAAAGGGTCACAGTACCACAACTGCTTTGGCACGGGGTTGTGACGATGTACTAACAGCGGCGGATAGGCAAGAAGCAACTGCATTAGTCTTATTGGATTTCAGCAAGACTTTTGACACCCTGAATCATAAGCTGTTAGTTTCTAAATGTAAATACATTGGGTGTGGCGACTTGGTTCTGGAATGGATAGATTGCTATTTAAATGAACGTCATCAATATGTCGTCATACAAAATAAACTTTCAGACAAAAGGCCGATTTGTTCCGGAGTGCCTCAGGGATCCATAATTTGTAAGACTAGTTATTTTAGACTCAGGCTTCTATATGCAAGTAAAATTGTTTTAAATAGAAAAATTAAGAAAATGTTATGCGAGTCACTCATACTCAGTAAAATCGCTTACTGCAACATAGTTTATTATCCCTGTCTGGATGAAATCACAAAATACAGACTGCAAAAAATTCAAAACTCATGTAGTCGTCACATAAACAATTTAAGAAGGTAAGATCATGTTTCTCACTCAATATCTTCAATGAATTGGTAGAAAATTTCTGATCTTTTCAAATACAACTTTGTTACATTTGTCGTAAAAATATTAAAAAC